CCTGGGTCTCCTGGGTCTCCTGGGTCTCCTGGGTCTCCTGGGTCTCCTGGGTCTCCTGGGTCTCCTGGGTCTCCTGGGTCTCCTGGGTCTGCTGTTTACCTAACCCCGAGTCTTCCTCTTTCCTGGGCCCTTGTCTTTTAGCTGCAATGTGTCCCCAAGTAGCTGCTCCTTAGAGTGGGGTTGAGGGGTGAACCCTCCCCGTCAAACCAGCCTAATGTTGCAGTTTAGCAGAGGCATCTGAAGCTCTGAGGCTGCGGCTTTATGCTGTGAGTGCTACTCTGGACGGCTGGGGCTTCTCCAAGGCTGGTGTTCCTCAGCTCAGGAGGCATGCACCGTCTCTCCCCCCACCCCGTTCCTATTACGATTGGCAGAACAGTCCTCTGTACTCCTGATCTCCTGTGTCCGCCGTCTCGTCCCTTTGATTCCTTATTTTATTCTCTGATCATTTAGATACCTAACTCATCTATTGATTTTTTTTTTAAGCTCTTTGGCAAGTTTAGTTTCTCAAATGTCAAACCTCCCAGGGCTTTTCCTCCTATTTGAATACACAACTAGTTGTGGGGGTTTGAGGATTGAGGGGAGGGGACAAGGTTTGGTGTGGGGATGAGTGCATGTGTGTGTGTGTGTGTGTGTGTGTGTCTCCTTGAAGAATTCCAGCCCTGATATGCACACATGCATGCATACATTCTTACACACACGCATGCATGAGCACACATACACACGCACACACATGCATGCACGCACACATACACACACACACCAGCCTGGAGGTTACTACACACTACATCCATCCCAGGGCAGTTGTTGCTCTGCCACCTACTGATAGTGTAGATTACTCTGTCCACTCCCGTCTACCTCAGCACAGCCCCTCTTTGCTTGCCTCTCTGATGGACATGTGTCACTGTATTTCACCCAGCATTTCCTGTGACATCATGGAAGGGAAGAAGCCAGGCTAGACTCCAGCCCCCTTGCTAGTTTGCCTGTCACACATTTAGCCTGCTGTGTGTAAACAGCAGAGGGTGTAGGGAGGAACCAGACGAGGCCCTCAGATGTTGTTGCTAAGGAAAACCTGTGAAGAGAGGTAGTCCTGGGTTTGAGCATTGCATGTAACGGACCTCAGAGAGAGGGAGATCTTGGAGGGGGATTCCTGCTGCTTTGGCTAATGATGGCAAAGACTTTGGAGTCTCCGGGGATGGAGGAGGAGGTGGGGAAGAATAGCTCTGAGGGATGTTTTGAGTGAGCGATCAAAGCTGCAAGTTCTGGAGCTGGGTACTTGGGGCAGGGCACAGCTGAGGACCAGGCCACGGCAGCTATTGCTGGTGCAGGGAGACCTGGTCTCAGCATGTGACCTCTGCTGTGTGACCTCAGCCTTCATCCTGACCTTCAAGGTGTTTGTTTATTCAACTGTGGGGGTACGGGTACTGTGGAGTTTCCATCTAAGTCAGTGTGGGATGCTTCACAGTCCCTCCCTTTTCCTGTCCTTCTGTCCATCATGGCTGATTGACATTTGTGGAGATACTTAAGCATGATCCTCTCTTGTACTGTTCTTCTTCAAACTGTGTTGTCGCATGTAACTACACGGTATGGATGTACATGTGTGTATCTGTGGGAACTGCCAGGCTGTCTTAAGCTGCAGTACACATCTTGGCAAACAGGACATCTTCCCAGGCCCAGCTTAGATGTCTCCAGTCACTCCAGTGCCATCTATGGTTTCTGAACACACACACATACACACACGCACACACATATGTACACATACACACATACACACATACACACATACATACACATACATACACACATATACACACACAGTTGCATGCACATGTATACATACACACGTGCATGCTTCTTGTGCATGTGTGTACATGTATGTGCATGTATACATATATATGTGACTCCGTGTGTATATATGTACATATATATGTGACTCTGTGTGTACACGTACACGTGATTCTCTCTGTGTATGTGTACATGCACATGCGATTCTGTGTGTGTGTGTGTATGTGTGTGTGTGTGTGTATGTGTGTACTCGAGATTGATGGTATCTTCCTTGTGGATCTATACAGTGTATACTGAGGCAGATCTTTCCCTAGAACCCAGAACTTCTTGAGTGGGTCTAGCTAGCTGCATGCCCTGGGGCATCTCCGGCCTCTGCCTCTTGCTACTGTGCCAGTCTGACATTTACAGGGGAGCCAGGGATCCTGATCAGGTTCCTATGCTCACACTGCAAGCGCTTTACCCCCCTGAGCCATTTTCCAGAGCGAGATGGTTTCTGCACAAGATGGAACATTCCCTGTGGTCCTTATTGGGGGACAGTTTGGCGCAGCACCTGTCCTCAGGATTCACTCTCTCTCCTCTTCCCCAGGGCAAAAGAGTTGAAGGAGCACATCTTCTTCAAGGGCATCGACTGGCAACATGTGTACTTACGGAAGGTATCCCTCCAGACCCCCTGAGCCCGCTCTCTGTGTCTCTCTGCTGCTGGCTTCTTGACTCTGTTCCTCTAGGGTCCCCACCCACACCAATTCTGCCATGTTGACATGTTCTGCCTGGGCTTATCATCACGTAGGGGACTTCCATAGGGGAGCCTCCCCGTCCTCATTTTCTTCATATAGACCACATGTGCCTTAGTTTTGCATCTGTGGTTCAGCCAGCTACAGATGGAAAATATTCAAGGGGAAAAAAATCACAGGTGTGCTGAGCACGTGTGAACTCCCTCCTGGTCATTAATGTCACAGTGTCACAGACTGAGCACTATCCATAGGACACTTACACTGTCACCCAGAGATTAACGTCTGCAGAGGGTGTGTGCAGGCTCTGTGCAAATCCTCGATGCTCACCTGTGGACCTTGTAGCCAAGCCATGGCCTGGATAGGTCCTCTGCAGGTGCTGAGGGGCAACCATATGAAATTTTTGGTGATCTCCTCTGAACAAATGAATAGAAGGCACAATATAGCAGTTTTCCGGGTGAGATATGTGTAGAGTCAGACCCACATGGACAAGGAACATCTAACTTAAATGTAGATATTTTCTGGCTCCATACTTCCCCTTCCTAATTTTTAAAATTCTTTATTTTATGGATTTTGTTTTGTTTTGTTTTCATTTTTATATGCTGGAGCTGTAACCCAGGCCTGTCTCCTACTAGGCACATCCTTTCCCGTGGAGCCGCCTCACCCCCACCCTCCTCCCCCACCCCCCGCCCCGGCTGTCCCTTGTTTTAAGCTTTGCTGTATTCTCTTTGGTACAGGGAACACCCTGGTTGAGTTTTTTTTTTTTTTCAAATGATTTATTTTATGTCTATGAGTACAGTGTTACTGTCATCAGACGCACCAGAAGGGGGCGTTGGATCCCATGGCAGATGGTTGTGAGCCACCATGTGGCTGCTGGGAATTGAACTCAGGACCTCTGGAATAGTTGAATTTTTAAAATGTGTTTCTGTGTGAAACCTGATACAGAGTAGTAGCCGTTTCTATGGGGGATGGGGAGACTTCCTAACTACCCTGCCATGCTCCAACCACCCTGACAGACAGCACTGATGAGAGTGGGCAGTGTGGAGCTCTGGGTGGGCTGTGCTTCCTGGGCATGCGCTTTCTGGGAGGGCTGTGCTTTCTGGGCATGCGCCTTCTGGGCATGCGCCTTCTGGGCATGCGCTTTCTGAAGGCAGGGCTGTGTTCTTTATACAGACTGTTGTCTTGGGATATACAGGTCTGCTGATAAGTGGGCCTTACCTATTTGTTGCATCTTTTAGTACCCGCCACCCCTAATCCCTCCTCGGGGAGAAGTCAACGCTGCAGATGCCTTCGATATCGGCTCGTTTGATGAGGAAGACACCAAAGGCATTAAGGTAGACACTCTTCTAGGTGTGAGGTTTCTGCTAAGAACCACTGTGTGTGGGGTTGGCTAGAGCCTAACCTTCGCAGCTGCTCGGCAAGCTACTAGGATAGAGCTACATCCCCGGCCTCTGAACTCACTCTGTAGCCTAGCAGTCCTTGAACCCCTGGTTCTCCTCAGCCTTCCCAATGCTGGGCTAACAGGCCACCCACCCTTCATGGCTTGAGGACAGAACCCATTAAACTTAGCGATCGCTTTAGTTTTACCCTCAAAGCCTCAGCAGCTTCCTCCCCATCAATTCACATTGCTGAGCTACAGAGGGAGGGCTTGTGTCGCTATGATTGGCATGTGGCATTTGCAGTTGAAATCCAGCTTGGGAGTGAGAGAGCATTCCACCCAGAGCAGAAGAACGCATGGCTTTCTCATGCTTTTAAGTCCAGGGTCTCCCTGTGTCAGGAGAGAATGTGCAGACAGCAGGAATCTTTGCCCTTGTCAATCAAGGGTAAATTGACTGTGGTCTTAGTATCACCTCCTGCATTCTCCAGACACTGGTGCACAGCGCTAGTTTTCCAAGTGGAGACAAAACATACTCACAGGGAGTGAGTCATGAGGGAAAATTACCATCTTCAAAAATCCCAAGTCAGCAGGTCACTGCCTGCCTGCTTGCCAGCCTGTCATCTGCCCCTGACACTGACTTATCCCTGGGGCTGACTCTTCTCTGCTGCCTGAGTGTATCACCACAGTTTCTCACCTAAAAGCATCCCCTCCAGAGGCAGGCCACAGTTCTGAGTGTCAAACCCACACCTGGTACCTGGAGAGAGAACAGTGGGTGTCATGGCCACAGGCTGAGTCTGTCACAGGGACAGGGACAGCACAGGAGTGTTGTCGGGCGGGGTGAAGTCAGCGTCTGGAGGGAAGTGAGGCAGGGGACAGAAGCAACTGTGAGCTGGAAGCACCTATGCACAGGGGCAACCGGGCAGAGCCAGAGGCTCCTAAGGAGGAGGCTGTCCTCAGGAGACCACGAGGTGTTACAGGTGTGACCCCCAGTATGGAGCCTGTATTGGGCAAAAAGCCCACAGCAACATTGATGACCAACTCAGATCCATTTTTGTGAGGTTTGGACCTGGAGTGGCTGGAGGCCTGCAGGCTCCTCTAAGCATCTTACATCTGGCGCGTGGGTGTGCAGGTACCGCCCGTGGTGGTGCTGCAATGAGGTCAGTCCACTTCCAGATCCACCCAAACATTTTCCCCATCAGATGCAAGGCTCCTTGTCAAAGATGCTAGAGGCAAGACTGTGCTTGAAGAAGATGTTTCTTGGTTTAGTGTGAGCCACGGGCCTCCATCTCCTCACCTGTCATACAGGTGGTAGATCTTCAACATTGTGGCTTTTCGGAAAATACTGGGAGTGGGGGGAGGGGGGAGGGAGCGGGGAGATGACCTCTGTGGCCAGCATGAAGCAGGGAGCCAGAGCTGTGACCAGGAAGGGAGCTGGAAAGAACTCCGTACTTTATTATTTAAAACAGCTGGAAATACACGGTGGTTCATTTTCTGTTGGGCTTTTGATTTTCTTCTTCTTCTTCTTAAAAAGAATTTTTTCATGATCTCATAGCGACATATATTCCCCTCTCCTAATTTATTTCTTCCTCAGTTTTTTTTTTTTTAAATTTGAAATGAGATTCTGCTCTATATACCAGGCTGGCATCAAACTTGGCATGTAGCCCAGGCTGGCCTTGAATGAGAAGTCCCTCCTTGCTTGCTTCAGCCACAGGTGTGCCCTGTCCTGCTGCTCTGGTTCATTATTAACAGCCTGAGCAAAGTACACACATGAACTTTCAGAAATTTCAGGAGGTGAGACCACATGTCTGTACACAGTGGTCGTTGTTTTGGGAATGCAGGGTGTATGTCCTCTCTTTTCAGGGACTTCCTAAGCTCTGCCATCCTAGGAGTACCCAGAGAGCGCGCGCACACACACACACACACACACACACACACTTCTACATAGGCATGCACACATATATGCATGTACACACACAAACATACACATTTATACACAGACACATGAATGCACACACACAAACAGGTATACATACATATATTTACATACATGTGTTCCCATAAACATGTATACATGTGTGCACACACAAACGACACATGCAGTTATATACACTACATGCATGCACACACAAACATGTATACATGGATGTGCACACATGTATACATGGATGCACACACATATGCATATACACACATATGCATGCCTCTTGTCACACTCAGAACAACTGAGGACCTCTGCTCTGGGCTTACTTAATTTGGTCATTTGAATGGATGTGGGAATAAGTTCTTCTCCCTTCAGGGCCTCCCCTTTGCCTTCTAAGCAGCCTGCTTACTGCTGTCCTGGTCAGTCTTCCATCTCCCAGAGGCAAGAGGGGGACTGGTCTCAGAGAGGTTGTTCCAACAGGTGCAGCTCCCACTACGTGGGTTTGAGCTGTAAAGTCACCGCATTCTCTTGGCTTCCCAGTGAAGCCTGCCTCAGAGGGTGGGACAGAGACATTTGAGTTCCTGCAGCTCTCGGTGGCCTGGTGCCTGCACTCTGTGATACTTGTATCTAAACACCCATTCACGGTGGTGCGGGAGTCAACATTTGTGAGGTACTGACGGACCCATCCTGAAACAAGCTGTCCCCCCTTTTCAGATTGTTTGAGGGAGGTTGGTGAGCCAGCCTGGCTTTTCTCCCTTGTCAGATTCTAAATTCTGTGCAGACCCATGTCCCCATTTTTACAAATATGGCACCCACAACTGAAAGTCTACTTGGCTATCAAAATCTCTATTATTTCTAAATAAAACCCAGTATTGGGGGCTGGGAAGATATACAGTAAAGTGCTTGCTATACACCAACATCTGAGTTCAAAGCTCTAGCACGTGTGCAGGAGTTTGTCGTGGTGGTGCACATTTGTAACTCAGCACTGGGAAATGAGGGGGCGACAGAGACCAGAGGAAGCTTGGGTCTTGCTAACCAGCTGGTTTACTCAGTTGCTAATCGCCGATTCAGTGAGAGACTCTGTTCTCCACATATAAATAAATAAATAAATAAATAAATAAATAAGGCCAGGCTGTGGTGGGACACACCTTTAATCCCAGCACTTGGGAGGCAGAGGCAGGTGGATTTCTGAGTTCGAGGCCAGCCTGGTCTATAGAGTGAGTTCCAGGACAGCCAGGGCTACATAGGGAAACCCTGTCTTGAAAACCAAAATAAATAAATAAATAAATAAATATGGAAGATGCTAACCTCTGACCTATACACACACATACACACACACGTACTCACATGCACACACATGTACATATGCTCACACACATGCACAAAGCACATATACAATACACTCACACATGCACACACATGTGCATGCATGCACACATTCTCACACATACACGCACACACACATACATGCCCACATATGCGTTCTCACACACATACACACATACATATATATGCACATACACATACATACACATGTACTTCCGTACACATTTACATACACAGGAATAGATGTGCCACATACAAAAATTTTTTTAAAACTAATTTTAAAAAACCAACATGTTCATTTTCATTGGCAAAAATACCTGATACTACTGAAGGCCAGGCCTTGACTGCATGGGTGGGAGCCACGGTGAAGCCCTCCATGAATGTGGTCATGGTGGGGTCCCATGACCACAGTGCTGGCTAAGCCCTGCATCTGGGAAGGCACTAGAGCACAGCGTCCTCTTTCTTTACCCTCCCAGCTGTTGGACTGTGACCAGGACCTCTATAAGAACTTCCCGCTGGTGATCTCCGAGCGCTGGCAACAGGAAGTGGTGGAGACCATCTACGATGCCGTCAATGCCGATACGGATAAAATCGAGGCCAGGAAGAAAGCTAAATATAAGCAGCTTGGTCAAGAGGAAGGTAAGACGCTGTGTGACCCCGTATCATTCCCGGTAGAGGAAAGCGTGGCCTTGTGTCACCCAGTATTTCCTAGCAGAGGAAGGAGCACACCCAACTTGGGTTGTACATGGATTTTAATGGCCAACTCGAGTTTCTCAAAAACTCCAGTTATCAGGTGGATGGAAGTGCCCACTGAGGGAGGTAGTGCTGTCTCAGTTCTAGGGTACCCCCACCCCTGGAACTTTGGAAACAGGCCTAAAAATTTAGTCCTTGTAGGCAGAGCATCACAGAGTCAGGAACAGGTCCGTGGAGATTCCAAAAGTCTCTGTGACAGGAGTGTACAGTGTCCAGGCACCAGTGTCCAGGACAGACACAGTAATAAATGCATTTTAAGTCTCCCAAGAAATGCAAGCCTGCATCAGAAGGGCAATTCTGTGGATGCCAACCCCTGTCTGTCTCCGCTGTCCTTTTCTTTCTCCACATCTCGAGGGACATGTGGGTCTCTCTCTAGAGAGTAAGCTCCCAAGGTTGAATGAATTTTATCTCCTTTCATTTGTTGTTCCTGGAACCCACAAAGCATAGCCCCAGATGTGCCAACTTAGAGACACAGTCAGTGCCCAGCATGGGTCTGAGCTTCTTCAGTGAGCTGAGGACAAGTCTGCCGTGGCTGCCACCTTAACCTCAGAGAGCAAAGGCCTGACTTCAGAACAATTCACAGGATGATAGTGGATTAAGGGACAGTCCCCTCCAGTGGCAATGGGACTTTGGAGAGAATTCACAATTAAATAGTCTCTGTTATTTAGTAGTCATTATTATAAGCATAGGTTTAAAAAAAAAATGGTCTGGAAACAAACTTTTGCTCTGTCAGAGTTCTCAGTAAGTACTGCAGGTTCAATACCAGGAGTCTGGGACCTTCTGAACTCTCAGGTCCTGTGTGTTCAGAATCTGAGATAATGGTGTTCAAAACAAGTAACTTTGTAGAGATGTGTGCCCCTCCTCCAGTCCCAGTGTTCAAAATGAGTTACTTTGTAGAGATGTGTGCCAGTTCTCCAGAGCCCCAGAGCCTGCTTTAGTGGCGCTGGTTCAGGACCTAAGTAACATTGTATCTTTACCCTCAGATTACGCCATGGGAAAAGACTGCATCATGCACGGGTACATGCTGAAGCTGGGGAACCCCTTTCTCACGCAGTGGCAAAGACGCTATTTTTACCTGTTCCCCAACAGACTGGAGTGGCGAGGAGAGGGCGAGTCTCGAGTGAGTCCCAGGGGTGGGCCCCGCACAGACTTGGGGTGCAGGAGCTCCCACATACTGCTTTATACCCAATGTCTCTAGTGTCACAGAAACAAAGGTTGCTGTCGTCCAAGTAACTTTTAAGTGTATAAGTCGAGTCCCTTCCTCGTGTGTGATGCAGGAAAAGACTGAGACCAAGTCTGGCAGCCTTGGGGGAGGGGCAGTGGAGGCCGGAGCGTGGTGGGGGGATGGGTGGACTTTGAGAAGAGCAAAGTGGGGAGAGGGCCACCCCAGCTCACTGCTCTTAGAACTCGGGACACCCCGAGGTACCTCTCTGGGCCTCAGTTTCCTCATTATGAAGCTGGAGACCCAGAAAGCCTCAGAGTTCCCATAATTACTCCAAGCGTACCCAAGGCTAGGTGCTGCAAACAAACTCACTGGTTTAGTGTTTTCCAAGGTCCAACACTGGATTTACTGAGGGGAATCCAGGGCAGCCAAGGGCACAGCCAACTCACTGTGGGTGGGGAGGGATGCTGACTCAGCTCTGCCTGTGCACTCTCGGTCTCTCCCCAGGTCAGATTACACGAAGTGTCACTAGTGGGCTCTATGTAGGGTGGCTAGGACACCAAGCCATGCTGTCTGTATCCTGCTGGGACTCTAGGCAAATTTCACAGTCCCTCAGAGCCTTTCTCAAAGGCTGTTAGCAAAGGGACAAATCAGGGTGTTTTATTAAACACCCACCATGTGAGAAGCCAGGGAAGGAGTCCCCCTGGGTGGATGGACCAGGGAGACAGGACAGGGTTCAGCGCTGTGAGTATGGGCATGGTCCATCCCAGGGTCAGAACATGATGTGTGTGTATTGGGAAGCAGGACTGAGGCTCGGCAGTGCCACAGTCCATGAAGCCAAGCAGGAGGCTCAACTCCTTCATCCTGACTTTGAGCCACGGTGATTGCTAACTGCTGGTGAAGTCCAAGACAATTATGAATAGTGGCAATAGCCAGTGGTCACCTCCCTGCTGTGCCAGGAGGCTCTTTGAAACTAAAGTCAATAAGACTTGATGCACTCAAGTCGAGTGATTTATGGGTGCCCCAAGATGCAGCTCTGTGCTGGTGGGTGTTGAAGTGTTTTCCTGGAGCCTGGACAGGCATTCCTCTAGAACCCTCTTGGAGGAGGTCACAGTAAACTGTCTCGGTTGCAACGGAGTCTCAGTCTCTTTCTCTCTCTCTTGTCTCTTTCTGTGTCTTTCTCCCTATCTCTGTCTCTGTCTGCTCTCTGTCTTTCTTTCTGTCTCTCTGTCTCTGTCTCTTTCTCCCTTTTTATCTCTCTCTGTCTTTGTTTCTCTGTCTCTCTCTGTCTCTGGCTCTCGCTGCCTCTTTGTGTCTGTTTCTCTGTCTCTCTTTGTCTCTCTGTCTCTCTCTTGCCTCTCTCACTATCTCTCTGTCTGTGTATGGTATCTCTCTGTCTTTCTGTATGTCTCTCTGTCTCTCTCTGTCTCTCTTTGTTTCTGACTCTTTATCTGTCTCTTTCTGCCTCTGTGTCTCTGTCTTTGTCTCTCTATCTCTGTCTCTCCATCTTTCCCTCTCTCCTTCCATTCAGTGTTCTGTGTGAAGTTGGGCAGTCCCTGAGGTAGATCTGTCAGAATGAACAGAGGCAGAGAGAGAACTCTCTCTGTCTTTGTTTCTCTGTTTCTCTGTCTCTGGCTCTCTTTGCCTCTTTGTGTCTGTTTCTCTGTCTCTCTTTGTCTCTATCTCTCTCTGCCTCTTTGAGTCTATCTTTGTCTCTCTATCTCTCTCTTGCCTCTCTCACTGTCTCTCTGAGAGACATGAGAACCGAGACAGTTCTCATGATGCTTTTTTCACTCCAGATTTTTGTAGAATTTATCTAAAATATAAACAACCAAACCACCTCCCTGGTGGGGAAGGAACTGTGCGGTGGCCTCCTGTGTAGCTGTCACAGTAGATCTCCTGTGAGGATCCTGTAAGAATGCCACCTGCAGTTAGGTCTTTCTGACAAGGATCAAGATACCTATAGTGTCTTAGCCCATCTCCACGCCTCTATGTCACCTACCATGCTCACTGTTCTGATAATGGCTGGACAGTGGCAGATGCACCTGTGACATGTGGCATGACCCTGCAAATTCCCGGTTGGCCAGACTGACACTCATCCACAATGCCGGGCCATGGGCCTTCACAGAAGCGTGGCTGTCCTGGTGTTTCACTTTGAACTTGGTTTTCGTGTCATTGTGGCCATTCTCCGTATTTCTAGACTATCGGGCAAGAAAGAAAAAGTAATGACATTTGCTTTTGAAAACACACTCTTTGATTTATCCCAAGAGATCACCAAATACCAAAGTAATCGTTGACTATTTGTGTTTAGCAAAATCTACTGACCATGGAACAGATCATGTCTGTGGAGGAGACCCAGATTAAAGACAGAAAGTGCATTTTACTCAGGATAAAGGGAGGAAAGCAATTTGTCTTGCAATGTGAGGTAAGGTTTTTTAATTAATTAATTAATTAATTAATTAACATCCCAAATGCTGCCCTCCTATCCCCCCTCACAAGGTTTCTTCCTCCATTCCCTCTCCACTTCTGAGAGGGTTTCCCCCACCCCCACCCTGGTGCATCAAGTCTCTGCAGGCTTATGCGAGGTAACTTTTTATTGCCATCCTCTGGAATAAAAACAGTGACTCTGGACACTGTCCCCAAGCTTCCCCTTGTCTCTCTCATAAATTTAGTAGTGTGAGGTTTAGGTAAATTAACCCCGGTGTACTAAGGCACATGCACACACGTGTTTTCATCGAGCAGAGGCAGAGAAGCCAGTAGATCAAGGTTACCCTTTAGCCTGTTGTTGAGACAGGGGTCTTACTATGTAGTCCAGGGTGGCCAGGAACTCAGGTCTCTCCTGGCTCAGCTCCCCCTGTGCTCACACCCTCCTTAAGTAACTATATCTACTTTAGATAAGTGAGAGGTCATTTCAAAATATCAGATCCTTCTCCCCCATCTATTATCCTATAGGCTGTGGTTTTAGGACCTAGAGAAAAATCCCTAACTAGATTAAGGCAGTAGACACGGTGCAGGAAGCCCACTCGAAGAGCCCAGAGCTGGTTCTCCCTCTGTCTCACCAGGTTCCAGGGGACCTGAAGGTAGGGGGTCAGGCTTCAGTGCAGGTAGCATGTGTCCCGTGTCAGACTCCGTTTGTAGATGCTGTTAGCAGATGAGTAGACACACCCCAGTTCTCACCTCCATCTCCTTGCAGAGTGACCCCGAGTTTGCACAGTGGCTGAAGGAACTGACATGCGCCTTCACTGAGGCCCAGAGACTGCTGCGCCGTGCCCCCAAATTCCTCAACAAACCACGTGCCGCCATCCTGGAGTTCTCTAAGCCACCGCTGTGTCACAGAAATAGCAGCGGCCTCTGAACCACAGAACAAGCAGCAGGGCCTGGAGGAGGGGCCCCAGCTCTTCAGCCCAGGAGTGGAGTAGAGCCACAGGGAACCGTGTGGGGCTGATGAAACACAGTGGTTCTGAGCACTGGGCTGCTCCAGGCCGAGGAGGCCCACGACACCAGGGCGGCCCTCGGGGAGCTGGGATATCCTCGGGGCTGGCCTATCCACACTCGAAATTACTGAAGAAGCAGAGGCATTTCTCTGTGCAACCCTCTGACTTTGATATCCATGGACCCAGAATGCAAAACGATCCTTACCTCTCTAGCTTTTATGTCTGGCAGGGAGCATATCTGGGGTGGGATCACAGTATCTGGGATTAGAGTGGCCTGTCCTAGGCATTGCTGTATCTGAGTGCCTGCCTGAGGTGTGGGGGTTGAGATCCTGGAGGAGGCTTCTCGGTAGGTCAGAGCTGATTCCTTGCTGTCCCTGAGGTGAAGAGGTAGCCCTCAGCACCATGTGCCTCTGATGGCTTCTTTCCAGAGATGCCAGTCAGAGGGAAGAGGTAGGATATCCCCTTGAGGAAACTCCACGACATCCATCATGGCCACTTCTAGTGGGCATGACCAGGACTTCAAGTAGGACATAGGTAACCCACCAGACAGTGCCCCCCCATGCATGGAGCTCATGAACTCGGGGTTACTATTGACGGTTAGGTCTATGACAGAGTCCTCCTGCTCTCCCTGTTTGACCTGGGGAGCATTTGAAGATATGCCCAAGATGGAGAAAGGTTTCTGCCTTGTCTTTCAGTATAATTTATAATGATCTCACACTGGTGGGTGACAATGTCCAGCGGTCCCCTGTGCACTCTGGCGGCACCCCACACCCTCTGTCACTAATGCACTGTGTGCTGGGTTATCCTGGCAGGCACAGCAGTTTGCCCAGCCCCCTTTCCCTTAAAGGTGTTTTTTTTTTTTTTCCCCCACTGCGGCCCTGAATAAATCAATGCCAGGGCCCCATGTCACCACACTGAGAGAGAAGTCCTGCAAAGTCTCTACGGACTTGTCCAATTCCCTGGGGGTGGTGTTACCGGGTCTCTAGAGGAACACCTGAGCACATAAACCTGACAGCAGAATTCTTTGCGTTCTGGATCTTCCTGACAGTTTCTTTCCCAGTGTGTATTATGTTCCTGTGCTGGGGAAAAATAAGGTGTTTTATTTATTTATATGTATTTTTTTTTATTGCAGTTACCTTTGAGAGTTTGGAAGATAATTTACCGAGAGGGTCTGGTACTCTGCAGGTGCACAAAGGACCTGTGAGGCTCCGAGCCTGTCTCTCGCCAAACATTCAGGGTTCAGGTTCACACACAGTGCCGCACTGTTCACTGCCTTCTGGGATGAGAATGTGGTGTCACCTAGCATGGGCACCCTGGTTGCTTAAAATATTAGTGTTCAGATTCTACTACACACACACACACACACACACACACGCGCACACACACACGCGCAGCTAAGTATTGTGGTTACTGTGTAGGCATGGTTAGAATGGACAGCTCATGCATGTTCAATCGGACCTGCAAGGGTTGAGGCTGTACCTCCGGCCTCTTTAGGGCATATAGAGACTTCCCCCTATCCCTCCATATTGGGTGGGGGCTTGACCCCAGCACGTGTTGGACTAGCTGTGAAAATCTCTTATTGGGGTTATAGCTGTACCAAAATCTTTTAAGATGACCTGGGGTCATGGGATCCTGCACCTGCACAAAATCATGCCACACTGTCGCAGATATATCATGTGTTGTTATTTTGGCTGAGTTAATTTTAAGTCTCCTTTCCTTTTAGAAAAAGAAGTGTGCATGTGTGTATGTGTGTGTATGTGTGTATATGTGTGTGTGTGTGTGGTTGGGGGATGTCTCCTATGAGTTCTCCTGCCTCAGACTTCAAGTAAACCATTTTGTCCCCTCAACTCCATTTCCCTTGAGGACAGAACTGAGACAGAGGGCAGATGGGCCCTGGCAGAGTCCTAGAGGTTTGCATGAGCTGGTGATGGATCTGCTAACCACACCTCAGAGGCTGTCCTTCCAACCCAGCACGTGGCTAGGGTCCATAGGGTGGAAGAAGAGGCCAGCTGAGGTTGTGATGCACAGCTCTACGAAAGTTCCCAGCCTGCAGACGGGTCTCTAGATGTCTCTTGTACTTAGACCGTTAACAGGACGAGGCGTGTGCTCTGGTGACTCGGGGTTTCTGGACTGGAGCGCTTAACATGATCGGGGTGTTCCACGTGATGCTGTTTTTAGACAATTATGCTCTACATAGGCTTGGCTTCCTAAATCGAGAATCAATGCACAAAACCCAAGGATATTACATGATTTTAAAGCCTCTATGTGACACACACCAAATTAAAACCTTTGGCAAGCTCTAGTTTGTTTATTCACTTATCTTAACCTAAAATACCCTCTTGTCCATGGGGCGTCCTGCTTTTGCCTCTGGGTCATAATTAAATGTGATTTAAAAAAAAAAACAAAGCCTGTGGAAATTGTCACTCAGTGGTTGACAGAGGAACCTGTCTTGCTATTGATACAGGAGTGTGCACATTGATAGGCCCGTTGGCTGACATTACAAACTGTGTATGTAAGACCAGCGATGAAGGATGGATGGTGGCCTACCAGGAATTGATGGTGAAGGCTCACAAGCCCAGCCTCGATTTATAGAGGCAGGAGGCTTATGAATTTAAGGCTAGCCTGGGCTAAATAACAAGTCTCTGCGTTCAGAACACCAAGGGCTGTGGCAGTAGCTCTGGGGCCAAGGTCAAGTGTCCAAGGTTCTGAGTTTAATCCCCAAAGAGGGTAGACAATGGGCAGCAGACTGTTAGCCAACTAGTAAGATTTAGCTTGAGTGGTCGCCTTGAACTTGGCTATGCATCTAAAAGAAGCCCCACTAGCCAGGATTGTTCACCAGTGGTCAATGTGACAGAGGGGCAGAGCTCCTCAGGACAGGAACTTACCATTTCTATGGTAGGGTAAGGACAGAGGGAGAAGGCTTGGTTGGCTGATGGAAGCCACACACACTTGGCATGATGACCCATCAAGAAGGGAATGAGAGAAGCTCACAGGACATGCCCTCAGAATCCCCCAAGGGATTTTTTGCAAGCCTTGCTTGCTTTGTTCCCGAGGCAGAGCTGCTCCTGTCATAAAGGTAACATGTTCTTCGCTGGACATTCCCAGGAAGGTTCCCTCATCAGTGATACATCCTGGACACTGAGCCTGTCACCTGACACTGTGGGTGTGTAGCCCAGGCAGTGAGAGGCTATGACCTAGTTACTGTCCTTAAATGGACTGCCAAGGGGTGTGTGTCCAACATAGACCCGGTGGACCCCAGAATGACATCATGGCCTTCCTACATGTTGGACTCCATTTCTCGGAACTTTCATAATTTAAAATTAAAAAAAAATCTTTTCTTTTCCTGAGTGAGGTTTACTTGAAACATTTGTCTTAACAAGATTGCTTTAACTCCATTGGTTGGTTCAGGCCTCTCTGTTTGTTGCTATGGAAATGAAGAAGGATGAGCCTAAGTCCTCTTCTCCTCAGTGCATGGTGGACAATAGCATTTTCTTTGTTGGTTGCTTTTTGTCTACTTAGAAAAATAAGTGAGAACACAGTACAGAACCTCAGACCAGCAGCCCCAGTATTCAGGACACTGAGACAGGAGGATGACAAGTCCCAGGACATCCTGGGCTACGGGAAATCCTGCCTTAGAAATAAATAAACTAACAGACTAAGAGTTGTTTTCTGACACAGGTGTGACCGCTCCTACAAGCAACCAGAAGGTGCCATGTTCCCAAAGTGGAAAACCACACATTGTAAAATGGCCTTTAACTAAAAAGCAGCCACAGAGACTGGGTTCAAAATGTTCGTCTTTCATGAAGAATAGATTCCCTTAGAGCTGATTCAAATCCATAGCATAGAGTTAGGTCTCCAGCATCTAATAGTCTGAGTCCTTCCTGCAAACACCTATGCACCCCTTTATATTTTGCCGTAGATGTAAAGCATCTTTGACAGCAGTTTGAGGATGGAGCCATCATTCTGATTATCAACTGTGATTTTCTTTTGCTTCCTTGGAGTTTTACCTGCCCTGTGGTTATATGTATTATTTGTGGTTTATAAACTCAACACTGGCTTTTTTTTTTTTAGTTCTGTTATTAAATTATATTTTTCTATGTTTTAAGTAATAGCAGATCTGGCTTCTTCTGGTAACGGAGATGGATGGACCCTGTAACTATGAGACAAGAGTTCTATTTTAGCACAAAGGCATTTTATATTATTTATTGAATCCGTATGTGCGTTCCCATGGAAACCATCTGTATTTCTGCTTCTTGTGATCTGTATGGTTTGTTATTTAAAGAGAAATGGCAGCCTTTTGTGTTGCTGAGACAATAAAACTGAGCTCCTACAAGCAGTGGCTCGAGGCTGACATCTCATTTCTCTGACGTGGACCGTTCTGAACCACCCTAGCACAGCTCTCTCTCTCTCTCTCTCTCTCTCTCTCTCTCTCTCTCTCTCTCTCTCTCTCTCTCTCTCTCATCCATGACAAGTTGTGTTTTAAAACTACTCCAAGGAAAAGTTTATTTAAATGTGCCTTCTTCCTTTTCAGAACAGTTTGGAAAAAAGGCATCACAGAAGCAAATACTCATACTTGGGAATGACCCTGACTGGCACTGTTTCTTATTTTAAATGGAGCCCCCAGGGTCCATTTATGCCAACAATGGGCAGCTGTGAATGGAAAGTCCAAGTATCTAGTAGTTGCTCAGTCCCACGAGGCTAGTTGTTTCAGCTGGTCTTCTGTAGAAATAGGTTCTAACAGATGTGCTGGCTAGTAAGTGCAAGCAGGAGAAAAAGAGTGAATCTTCCTTCTTCCAGTGTCCTTATGTAGGCCTCCAGCAGAAGGTGTGGCTCAGATTAAAGGCATGCACTACCTTGCCTGGGCCTAAGTTTTTCATGGCCACTGTGCCTCAAGATCTCCATGCCAAGATCCAGGTCAGAAACTTGTGTCTTCCAGCCGCAAGATCTGGATCACAGATGAGCCCTCCAGTTCTGAATTGTAGTTCATTCCAGATGCAGTCAAGTTGACAACCAGGAGTAGCCATTACAGCCCCCTGATACCACCTCAGGAGCAGTTGAAGCAGTTTCCCATGTGAGATCATATGTTGCTCCAAGTCTCTGTTCATTGGCCCTGGGTAGAGTATCACAGCCAGTCTATTAGCGTCACCAGCCCTGTGTGTTGTACTAGAATCGGTCTATATCATTCTGAGGTACAGTTCTGGAGCAGCCCAACTGGTTTTCTATGTTGGAAAATTGCTCATATCAACCCCGCTAAAAAGGATCTGTATAAAAGATGCCTAATCAGGACGCTATTGTGGATGCTGAGAAGTGCTTGCTGACGGGAGCCTGATATGGCTGTCTCCTGAGAGGCTGTGTCAGAGCCTGACAAATACAGAGGAGACAGATGCTCGCAGCCAAGCATTGGACTGAGCGCAGGGTCCCAGATGGAGGAGTTGGAGAAGGGACTGAAGGATCTGAGGGGGTTTGCAGCCCTATGAGGGAAGGCGCAACAGTGTCAACCAGCCAGACCCCTCCCCCAAGCTTCCGGGGACTGGACCACCAACCAAAGAGTACACATGGAGGGACCCATGGCTCCTACCATATATGTGGCAGAGGATGGCTTTGTTGGACATCAGTGGGAGGAGAGGCCCTTGGGCCTGAGGGTGTTCGATGCCCCAGTGTAGTGGAATGCCAGGGCAGGAAGATGGGACTGGGTGGGTGGATGGGGAGAGCACCCTCATAGAGGCAGGGGGAAGGGGGATGGGATAGGGGGTTTCTGAAGTGGAGACCTGGAAAGGGGGAAACAATTGAAATGCAAATAAAGAAAATACCCAATAAAAAAATACCAAAAAAAAGTTGCACCTGGAAAGGGGAAAATAATTGAAATGCAAATAAAGAAAATATCCAATAAAAAATACAAAAAAAAGATGCCTAATCAGACATGTTGACTCCTGTCTGCCATTGAAGACTGTACCAAGTTGCTACAGTATTGTGACTCAATTTGAAGGTACCTGAATTTGGGTGAATATAGGATGATTCTCTGATGACGAAGAAGCCGACAGGTGTTGCTGCTGAGTCCATTGGTCTCCCAGTACAGTCACTTGACCAGGCTCAGGGTTTTGGAGCCTCCCAAACCTTTCAAGATGAGGTCTAGGCCCACACGAAGAGGTTCATCTTGCCTGCAGCATGTGGAAAACCATGGCACACTCCCAACCTGCTTATCCTTTCCTGGATACAGAACCCCTTCCTAGCATACTGCCCCTGCTTCATGGAGATGTCCTGAGGGGCTCTTATAATGCACGCCCCTTTGAGCCAGAGCTCCAAGCCTGGCTCATCTGCTGGATCCACAGTCAGGGGTCAGGAGGTACTTCCTGTCTTTGAGCTGGACAGGAAAAGTTCTGCCTCTTGCTAATTAGGGAAGAAAGGAAGTCACCACTGGCCTGACCACCACTGAGCCTCCCTGGTGTCTCTTAGTGCTGATTTTAAAACTCTTCAGCTAGTAGCTGGCAGGAGACCCTAGTCTGGTTTATGTAGCTGCCTGTGGGCAGGAGGCACTGCTTTGTGTGAGCTGACATGTCTGTGACGAAAGCTGAAGAGCTCCTAGTCCTCTGGAATGCCACAGAAATCCCATCCCCCCTAGGTAATGGCATGAAAGGGAACTGGCTTCCCTCCAAGGACACTCAACTCATCTCCAGCCGTCACTTTAAATAACCTCAACCCATATCACTTTGAATAACACAGTCTCTCTCTCTCTCTCTCTCTCTCTCTCTCTCTCTCTCTCTCTCCCTCCCTCCCTCTCTCCCTCCCTCCCTCCCTCCCTCCCTCCGTCCGTGCGTGTGTGTGTGTGTGTGTGTGTGTGTGTGATATGTCTTGGACTTGTTTTCCTATGGGAGGATTCATCTGTAGCACTGTAGCATCAGGCTGCCTTGAGTCTAGAAGATCATTGTAGAGAGGCTTTCACAAGATATTATCACTTGAGATGGTGTACTATGCTGTGGCGGGTTCAAGCCTGGAAAACACCTACACATATCAAGCACAGCTGTGGAGGGTTGGGTCACCTACAGCAGTGGTCATGTAACCTGAGCAATCACAGCTGTTTACTTTCCTCCAGCTGCCCAGTGTACATTTGGGTTACTCCTGTGAGACCAAGGAGCCTCCCACATGGCTGGACCAACAGGCTCATTAGAGCCTGCCTTGGGACTGGCTCAGAAAGGAGTCTGCTCAGTGGACTTTGGTAGGAGAAGCAGGAAGTTGGTGTGCTGTCTCTTCCCCACAGTAGCTTTGGGTCAGCTCTCCCTTCGGCTGTCAACCACACACCCCTCAACAAGGCTTCCCAGTCTTCCCCATTTCAGCCAGAGAGGCTGGTCTTGCCTCCAACCCCTCAGCTCTCCACTCTCCTTGTCAGTTTCCAAAGTGCTTCTTTGACTGTCTGTCCATAGATCCTTTTATCCTCTGTGCACGGCGAACAATTTGAGAATCCCTTCTGTTCAAGTTCCTGGTATCGTGCCCAGGGTATCCGTCCTAGCTCAATCCTATTACTGATAAACATCATGACTGAAAGCAGTCTGGGAAGGAGAGGGCTTATTTCATCATCCAACTCTCAGGTCACGATGTATCACAATGTACATCACAATGTATCACAGTGTATCACAATGTATCACAGTGTATCACAATGTACCACAATACATCAAAATGTATCATGACGCATTGCAGTGTATCACAGTGTATCACAAGGTATCACAGTATGCCACAATATATCATAATGTGTCACAATGTATCACCAGGTATCACTTAGGGCAGGAACCTGGAAGCAGGAGCTGAAGCAAAGGCCGTGGAGGAACACTGTTTACCTGCTTGATACCCATGGCTTTCTCAGCCTCTTTTCTTATACATCCAAGACCACCTGCCTAGGTGGGGCACCACCCACAGTGGGCTGGGTCCTCCCGTAACAATCACTAATCAAGAAAATGCCCCATATATACTTATCTATCGGCCAGTTTAATGGGAGCATTTTCTCAATTATGGTTCCTTTTTCCTAGACAACTCTAGCTTGTGTCAAGTTGACAAAACTCAACCAGCCCAAGGACCCTTCCTGCAAAGTTCATGCACAGAGTCAAGTCTACAACGATATGAAATAATGGGCTATGGCAAGGTGGGGCTCTGGTGAAGTGGAACTGTCTGGTTTCCTTGGAAACTCAGTTGTGTCATGTGATGTTCTTCTGGAAGCTGTCTTGTGAGAAGATGTTTTTGCTGGAGTGAAGCTTGAGAGGGGACATGATGTTTGGAAAGGGTATAAATGGAACCCCACAAACAGTGAGAGGATGCTCTTGCATTGGGATGCTGACCTTGTAAGGTTTCGCTGGTCTCACTTCTTAGTGGGGCTTCATTGGTCTTCACTTTGTAGAGAGAAATATATCAAAGAACTTCTTGTGGTATTCCAGCTGGTTCTTGTCACTTCCTTTGGTGCCAATTCTGCAGAACCTGTGGTTTCTGCTGGATGGAGCTGCTGCTACTGATTCATGCTTGGTGTTTGCTATTAGACTGGATTGCTGGTATCCTGACAACAAAGAGTGGAATCACCCCCACAGAACTACTTCTAAGCAGGATCCACAACCCCCTTTTCCTATTAACCTTCTTTCTCCTCAACCTCTAGTCAGTGGGTTAGAAGGGAGGTTGAAGCATTCAAGAGCCCTAAGTAAAATAGGTTTAGAAAAAGATCTAAGTCTACACTCTTGTAAAGCTCTCCCCTTCCCCAGGTCTGGGATGGAAACTAGGAGATAGTTTCTGAGTCTTGACACTCTGTCTCAATTAGGGTTTTACTGCTGTGAGCAGACACCATGACCACAGCAACTCTTACATGGACAACATTTAACTGGGATGGCTTACAGATTCAGAGGTTCAGTCTATTATCATCAAGGTGGGAGCAGGGTAGCATCCAGGCAGGCATGGCACAGGCAGAGTTGAGAGCTCTACACCTTCATCTGAAGGTTGCTAGTGATGACTGACTTCCAGGCAGCTACCATGAGGGTCTTATAGCCCACACCCACAGTGACACACCTACTCCAACAAGGCCACACCTATTCCAATGAGGCCACACCTACTTCAACAAGGCCACACCTACTCCAACAGGACCACAACTTCTAATAGTTCCACTCCCTGGGCTGAGCATATACAAACCATCACACACTCTAAACCTAAGAGACCAAGTGACTCAGCAAGGGGACCATCAGGCGTCACAGGTAGTTCAATTGTGTCCTGTTCTCCCCATGGATGCCAGCACTCAAGTTCCCCACAAATCAGTGTCTCCAGACATTGCCACAGGTCCCTTAGGGTCAAAAAGGGTCAAAAATCACTCCC